GCATACTCGGACATGACTCCACAAACTGCAACTCGACCAAAAGTATTCATGTTCTCGACAACTGCTTCTAGCATTTCACCTCCGACATTGTCAAAGTATATGTCGATTCCATCAGGAAAACACCTGTGATAATAATTAACATTTGTCGACAACATCAGCCATCAGGTAATATCTATGTTTTCTTATAAGATTTTCGACGTGCTAACTACTAAAAGGCATTATTAAGTGAACTCATTACTAACCTTTGCAAAGCAGCACTCAAATTAGTTTCTTCTTTGTAGTTGAATGCTTCATCGAACCCAAGCTCCTCTTTCAGAAATTTGACCTGCATTACGAATCAAAACGTGTAGTTAGTCCCAAAAATTGCGCCCATATAACGTTCATATGAATAGTGTTGTTAGGCTAATCAAACAAAGTCACTACAAAATAAATGTTATATTCCAACAGAAAATCCTATGCTAATATATTCCAATGGAAATTCCCACTACAAAAAAACCTCTTACATTCCAACGGAAATTTTCCGTTGGAATTCTTTATATATCCGTTGGAATAGATATTTCAACGGATATTCTTACGTATAAAAATTCGTGGGAAAAACGGTCGTTGGAATAGCTAAAATCCAACGGAAAATCCTATGGAAATAAATTCCTACAGCTATTCCAACGGAAAAAATTCGTTGGAATTCCTTAACCATCCAACACTTTTTCTAACATAAAATTAAATTTGTTGGAATATTCATTGGAATTTTCAACGGAAATTTTTGCCGTTAGAATTTTTCGTTGGAATTGAAGTATTTTTTGTAGTGTCCAACGGATATTCCAATGGAATAGCTTCCGTTGGAATAGTTCCAACAGAAATTCCAACGGAAATATTTCGTTGGAATGTGTTTTTCATTGGAATTGTAGATGGAATTTGATGATTCCAACGACTATATAATTCCAATGACTTTTTACCGTAGGAATTTCCGTTGGAATATGCAAATTCCGTTGAATTTTTTTTCCACCCCCGTTGAAAAATCCACCGTTGGAATCGTCAAAATCCAACGGAAATTTCAATGGAAAACCCATTCCAACGGAATATTTTTGTTGGAATTTCCGTTGGAATCCATTGAAAAATTCCAACAGAAATAATAGTATTGAAATATCCGTTGGAATTGCCGTTGGAATAATTCTTTTAGAATATATTTCCGTTGGAATTTCATCAATTTTTTGTAGTGAGTTATGATTGTTGAAAAATGTATAATCGTCAAAACCGTAAAGCATGCTTAACATTGACAACACTCTTTTGGACTGTACTCACTCAAAACAAAGGAATAATAAGTCATTACCTTTTGTTTAGTCCCGGCACAGCCAACAACATAGCAGCCAAATAACTTAGCATACTGCCCGACTAAGTTACCAACCGAACCGCAAGCAGAAGAAACAAAAACTTTCCCCCCTTCTTAGGTTTGCATACTTTGAAAAATCCTCCATACGCTGTAATTCCGCTATAACCTACAGTTTATACATTGTAAATGCCGCTATATCCTGAACTACGGCTGACACTCATTGTCAAGAAAATCCGTAATCTATATGCAGAGAGTTTGCTGTATTAGGTAAAGATGCATATATACCTAGAATTCCAGTATAATATGAGAGTGGAAATCCCATTTTATCATCCACTTTTTGCAACAAGGGATCGACGCCAATTGGTACAATGGTATACTGTGCCCAGCTGAGCATTCCCAACACAAGATCGCCGGCTTTAAAATCTGGATGCACGGAATCCAACACTCTTCCCACCCCAATCGAAGGAATCGTCTGCCAAAATTCGAAAGAACATTTTATATATGATGAGCGGCTAAATTTCATTTTTTGTCCAGTATGTTCGTCATTTTCTATGAGCGGCTAAAAGTGGACTAGATCAAAATGACTCAATTAAATTCTAGTGCTTTTTCTATTATTGAAGTTTCTAGAAAAAATAGACGCAATGCACCTTGGGTCGCTACGGAAACAGCCTCCTTGTATAATTACAAGCGTAAGGTCTGCGTACAATTGACTCCCCAGACCCCAACCAGTTGGGAATATACTGGGTATGTTGTTGTTGTTTTTTGTTATGTTGGTCATTTTTCAAAAAAGGTCCATCATATAGGGTGTCATCAATATTAGTCCACTAAGTTGCCACGTTTATTCAAAACTCGTACAATAGCCGACAATGTGTACTAAAAATGGTAATTACTTTTAGTACACTATCTTGGTTTTTGTATGAATTTTTTATTAAAGTGGCAACTTAATAGACTATTCTTGATGACACCCCCCATATAATGGATCTTTTTCGGAAAATAGCCAAACATAGTGGACCAATTTTTAAATTTTGCCTATGATGAGCTGGTGATCGTGATACTAAGAATTGTCAAATACTTTAAACGAATCAAAATGATTTATATATATATATAATATGTAAATCAAGTCGTTTAGAAGTGCAGTGACTTATTCGGTCTATCCATAGGTACCTGTCCAGGTAAAATGAGAGAAAGCGCTGTCAGGATTTCATTGGAACTGTTTTGGGTCTTCATGAGGTTTAGCATATACGGGTCAACCGAGACGTACAAGTTTTTCACAATTACGAGCGTAGTGTGGTCGTTCTTATCGATTTTCAAGGGCACCATCTCCTCCTTAACGGCGAAGTGCGTCACATCGGGAGCTCCTTCAATATGGCATTTTGTGACCACGAACTTGTTTGAAGTAACTTCCATTTTTTGTTTCTTTTTGGGGAAGTCTGAGCTGAATAAGGGTGGTGGAAATCAATGCAATAGAAATGTAGTCTTTAGTACAGCTATTTAAGATAAGATGATGATGAATATTTAGTAACAGTTGGGATTTAATAACAAGGCTAGCTTGTTCCATCCATGATCCATGTGCATGTCTGATTTAATAAATAGTACTCGCATTCGATGTGGGATTTAAATAACTAAGGGGGCGCTTGTTTATGGATTTTTTCAACCAAAATATTTCATTTTGTTAACTATAGTTAAAGTTGAAAAAGTAATGTGGTTAATTGTTAGTGGAATTTAAAAAATATATTAAAATAATATTTAAAATAAAAATGATTAAAGTTGATTTGATATAAAGTAGGAGATAAATGATTGGAAATGATTGGTAATTAAAATTATGTGAGTGGATGAATAGTGAATTAAAGTTGGTGTGATATGTAAGAATGATTGGTTTTTATTATTTAATTGTATGAATAATATTAAAAATAGTGAGGTTGAGTTAAAGTTGAGTTAAATATTTGAGTTGAAAAAATTGGATTGAAAAATTCCATAAACAAGCATGCCCTAAGCAAAATGTGCATGTCAGATTTAATAACGAGTCCACGTATTCGATGTGGGATTTAAATAATTAAAGCGGCCAGTTGGAAAGGGTTGACCTTAGTAATATCTATGGATGATTGATCTGTTATATGGAACGAGATGATTTTTTTTTGTGAACAGCTAAACACCGCCCCCTTTTCGATATTTACCGCCCCCTAAAAGACTAATTTGCCATTTATATATTTTTTTAAAAATAATAGATGTTCCTCTTTAAACCTATTTACCGGTCAAACCGAGCCTCAAAAAATTCCGAAAACACCTCTGAATAATTCCGGCGAAAAAATGCTTTCCAACAAGACCGATCATGCGACGGCTGACCGGTCAAACCGGCGGCCGA